CCCCAAAACCCCAAAACCCCATGAATGAAAATTTTTATAAAATAAAGATTATGTATTTCATTTAATTAGTTATTCGGGATCAGCTAGATTTTAGTCGAGTTTTAATACTTTTTGGACACTTAGCCAAGTAACTTTTTAGATATCAGCTGAATCATCATATAGCTCATTTTAATTGTCCTCTGGATTATTGATTATTCGGATCTTATTTTAATTTCTTTTCCTTTTCTCACTTGCTGAGTCATCTGTCTTTTACATATCATCTATGAATGGCAAAGCTGATTAGTTATTTCCAAAACCACCAAAAGCACTTCCTTGATTACTGCTAGAAGATCCTCCATGAAATTAATTATTCATCATATTAATGCCATTTAATGTATACTTATTTCCTTAGTTGAGCTGGCCATTTCCATAATCATATTTTCTGTGAAACTCTTTTTCTTCCTCTTTATAAATATTACCCTAGCATTCCTTTGTCCATCTTGAAAGAGGCCTGAACTTACTAGTTTCTTTTATTTAAAGGTGATTGAAGACTGCAAATATGTGCTCACAATAAATATTCAGTCCTCTGAAAAATTGGCAATTGCAAGTTACTTCTCCATCTTAGTTGAGCAGCAAGACGACCTAAAATTTCTCCCTGATTTAGAGATCTTTTATCTAGAATATAGCACTATCACCTTATAAATCCTCCACAGAAATAAGGCCAGCTTATCTGTTTTTAATACCTTGAGTTACTTTAACTAACAATTTGTGACTCTCTTAGTATTAAAAAAGCATTTACTCAAATGCCCATCTTGAATAATTTTGATAGAGCTAGTTTAAAAGTGGATGGTTTATGACCTCTTTCTTTTCATGCTTATGATCTATGAATGATTTCTCAATTACTTTCTTTTCAACATCTAAAATAAGTTTAAATAAGTCATATAAGGAAGATCTAGCTGTTTATCTGTGTTTTATCATGTGATTAACACTCTCGGCTCAACTTATTGTGTGAAGACCAGCATTAAATAAGTGTGGTTAAAAGGCATATGCCCACTTCTCTTTTATTTAGAACAATTATCTAAGATAAGTCATCCTTTGTTCATCTAATTCTTCACTCTACTAGAAGATAATATCCTATAGTTCTTGAAATTTTTTAGGATCTGGCGTATAAATGCATTCAATAATGTGATTGTAGAGTTACTTTTAATGAAGCTTTTTAGTTTTATTTAGAAACACAAAATGCTTTTTCAAGTTTTACATCATGTGCCATTGACATAGTAGATGAGTTGTCTTCTCAAACACTTTTTCAATAGCACAGCACATAGATGAGTCAAAATCAGTGATTATAGTTCCTGGCTCTTTACCATTATTAAACTCAACAAGATTTTAAAGTAGCCATTCGTAATGATCTGCAGTTTCTCTTGATAGGAAAGCAAATCCTAAAATGATATTTCTACCTTCACCAGATACTGATGAGATGATTGTTAAAGCTAAATCATGCTTATTAGTTTTATATGTAGCATCCATAAACACTACATCAGAAAAAGTCTGATAATATTTTGACATCATTGGAGTTTGAATAAGCATTCTATCAATTTTGGGTTAGGAACTTGATTTACAATCGTCTTAATCTTCTAAAACATAAGCAAATTTAAACTCACTATCTCTCTTTCTCATATTTTCAAGGCATTCTATAAGCACAGTTACATCTGGCTTACTTATTGATAAATCTTTATTATTCATATGCTTTAATACCTTCATCATATGATAAACATCATTATACTTTGTATTAACATTATATTTTCTATTTACTAAAGTCTAAATCATTGTTGGTTGCACTTGACAATCCATATATAGTTGAATATCTTACATCACATATTCATTGTATATGAAATGGCGATCTTTTATTTCAAGCTAATGGGAATGCTACATCATCATCTTTCTGCATCTTACATAATGCTACTTTTCTGGGTTCCAACGAAATCTCACAGAAACTGGACAATCAACCAAGGAGGATTACTTTATAGTAATACCCTAGGTAATTCTTTGCTTGCAAATCGCTTTTCTATGACAGCATAGCATGAATTTTATTACTTATCCATTTTCATCCCTCTATCTTTGAAATTTTTTGAATTAAATTTTATAAGGTAAACTTAGGGCATTATAAGTTGAAAGAGCCTCCTCTTCATTCGCAAATTTGCTTGGAAATCTAGTAAAGTCAACAAAGCTTTCTGGATTATGATTTAAAATCAAAGATTTAGATGCTTTGCCACTTTTTTAAGTGGCTGAAATTGAAGATACTACAGATTACTCTTCCGCAGTCATTGAAGTGTCTAACATTCCCTCTCCACTAGATAGTTCACTATCTTCCCGCTAAGTTTATAATTCAATTGTTGGTTGACTTTCCTCCTATAAAGCTTAGGAAGCTCTAATAATTTATTCTGTTGCTGGCATGACATAATTTTACATCGAGGCATTCGAAAACGAGAACGGATTTATTATGATATCACTGAAAATTGTTGATTAGGGTATACTTTTAACTGGCTCCAAAATGGGTGGAAATATGGAGTTATTTGTTTGAAAAATCTTATTATTATTGATTTATTTCAAGTTTGTTCCTCTTTTAAATTTAACTTTCTTGTTGTTGGAATGCAGACTACTTGAGTCATCAGACGATGTTTAAGATGAGGAATTTTTTCCTTAACTTTCAGGGTTTCCTTCAGTAAGATCTGATGAATTTACTGCTGTGGAGCAGCTTCCGTCAATCTAGTTGCTGTATATTTCTCATTCCAAGTCAAAGTGTGGTAGCAGTAAGGGCTGATCAAAGCAATATCCCGTTGTCATTGCAGCAAAAGTATTATCAAATGGACTCATCAATTATTAATTTGATTCCTTAGCTTTCTCAAATTAGTTCGTTTGGAATTAAATAAAGTTTTACATGTTTTATGTAAAGTTCATTTAAGGCTTACTATTCATCGGTGATTGATCTGAAGATTACAACTATAAGTTTTTAATTTCGAGAACTTTAAAAATTAGAATATGAATTTTAAAAATTTTGCTTTTTTTAAATATTTTAAACCGATTAAAATTTGAATATTGATATACTCGGGGTTTTGGGGTTTTGGGG